AATGAGAAGAGGAAATTCAAATGGCTGGGGCGGGAGATGGAAGTTAAGACATGTTGGATTAAAAGATCAGCTAATTCCTTAGCTGACGGGTTAGCAAAACAAGGGGCAGAAAGGGATTCTTTGTTTTGGGCTAAGCTGTAACGGTAGTGTCTTTGTATCTTTGTATTTCTTCCTTTCTTGAAGTTCTTTGTGACTTTTGGAAGATAAGTGTGTTTGTCTTCCACTTGTATATTTTCTACTGATGAATTAATGAAAGTGTTATTGATCAAAAAAATAAATAAATAAATAAATAAACGTTCCGAGTATGAAGTTTGATTTATAGTTTTTTATTGATAAGTTGGATTTACCGTTTATGCTATTTCCTATGACCCTGTAGTGTTTCCATTTGTAATTCATAGTTTTTCTTGTAGATTTTTGGGCTTTCAATTGATTGGTCAACTCAACATTCTTATCTGATGTGATTATAGATGATCTAGGAGTGTTATATAGGTTCAGAAAAGTCATGGGCTATTTAATTACAGCTGAAGTATCTGAACTGAATGGCTTCTTGCTTTGTCTTTTAATGGTTCATCATCATCCAATTATCCCAACTATATCGGGTCGGCTACATCCTGTTTTGCCATTCTGTTTTGTCTTTTAATGGACAAAAATATAAATAATAATATATTCAAGAGTACAGTAATCAAGCCAACTTCAGCTTCAGCCATTAAGGAACTTAAAACCTCCTTGATAACTTATTCACTAGCAGACAAAGCAATAAGTTTTTCAATTCAGACATTTCACCTTTTATTAAACAACACCTTAGTTTGGATTTACATCCATGACTTCACATGTCCATTTGTAATTGGATCTTCTGAATCCATCTGCTCCAATTCTGTGAATACCTAATCTGTGTCTCTATGCTTGCATCCAGATTGTTTAGAGAATAGGTCTAGATATTTAATGCATCTTTTGTATGGCAGCTTGGTCCCAAATGTTCCCCTTTCCACCCTTTAATCAGGGAAAAGTTAGCACATTTCAACACCAGAGCATCTATCTCCTGTCTCTCCACAACCACCACACCACCCACCCACCTGTGTACTGCCCTTTATAGAACATTCCTGTGAAGTTGATTATTTTTCTTTAAAAAATTGCTGGATATGAAGTCTAAATATGATAAATTAATTTTCTTATTGCTGTACTTTATCGACTTCTCCATGGGGAAGCTTGTGCTCTGATATGGCCTTGTGGCTTGAGATGTACATCTTGTGTGTGTATGTGTGTGTGTGTGTGTGTGTGTGTGTGTGTTTGTGTAAACTTTTGCTATAGATAAAGGAAGCAACCTAGATCTGTAATTTTATACTAGTAAAATTTTTTAGTGAAATCTTTAATTGCTGGAGATTGAAGCCCAATTCATTCCAATTTGGTTATTTATAATTATGATTGGACTCTGATCTCAAATTTTGGCATTGTATTGTTTCCAAATTGGATGTTGCTCCTATTTGTTCATAATGGGAATTGTTTGCTGGACATTGAAAGTATATGTATATGATATAACTTACTGACAGTCTTTTGGATTCCACTGCTTTTACTAGACTTCTGAGCTTTTGATTGTAAAAGAAAATTATTACTTTCCAAGCCCCTAAATTATCTTCCTGGAAAACATTCATTGTTACTCCACTAATCATGATTTCTATTCTTGTTCAATCTTCTTCAGGCCAGGGGCATGAATTATCTTCATCACTGCAACCCACCTATCATCCATCGTGACTTGAAGTCATCAAATCTTCTGGTTGACAGAAACTGGACAGTTAAGGTCTGATTTTTGTTTCTTCTTCTACTTGAAGCCATCTCCCCCCAACCCAATACACATATTGAAGTTAGAAATTTTAAGAGAATAGGCAAGATCATTTCTTTATCCTTTGGTTCCGTCAGGTTGCAGACTTTGGTCTCTCACGTCTCAAGCATGAAACATACCTGACAACAAAGACAGGGAAAGGAACGGTATATAACATAGCATTGCATAATGTCGCATTCTTCTGAAATTTTCTTTGGATTGTTCATAGTGTGGTCTAATCATTTTATATGGAATTTATCCATTTTGTAGCCACAATGGATGGCCCCAGAAGTTCTCCGTAATGAGCCTTCAGATGAGAAGTAATGAACCTTGCATCACTGATTTGATTGTTTTGTTATAATTTTCTTTTTCTTTAAACTAAGATCTGAACAAATATTGATTTATTCTTTTTCATGTGGAAACTTTCAGATCAGATGTGTATAGTTTTGGGGTAATTCTGTGGGAGCTTATTACTGAGAAAATCCCTTGGGATAATCTCAACTCAATGCAGGTATCCTTATTCTTGAGATGATGCATCTTACCTCAATAATTTCCATTTTATTATATTTTTATTTGAAAGAATGACCACATTTTGTGACATTCTATCATTAGTCAAAAAGAATTAGCATTCAATAAAACTACTGAAAAAACAAAAATAAAAACAGAGAAAATTTTAAGAATTAGTAATATTTTAAGAACCCAGCTGAGGTCTTTCCTAATGGGAGTGTTGGGTTGAGTAAATCCTGTTCAACATCTACATTTCATCTAGCATTGATGGTTTATCTAATGCTTTATGACCTGGCCAGCTCAGACAGTTGGACTGTCAGAAACATCACCTGGCACCATGACCAGTCTTGGACAGGCTGAATTTGGCAAATTTTGGAATTCCTGTAGAAAATTATATTGACATTTTTTTTAAGTTTAACATTAAGGCAAGATTTCATTCATTTTGGCAAAATCAGAATGTACAGATTACCAAGTATAGTGGGATATAATACATGGGTTAAATCGTTAAACTCTCCAAATAGGGTATATCAGAAGCTATCTGTATGAAAGAGTATATAATGAGAATTATGGAATGGTGTGGTCTGTCCCTGAAACTGTTGTGGATGGAATGGAAAGAGCAAACTGTTGCCCTTGCTGTTTTCAATACCTTGCCCTGTGGCAATGCTTTGTTCTCAAATAACCTAGAATTTTTTATATAACTTGTAAACTTTTATTGTATTGTTAAAAAGAGTACATGTTCAATGTGTTCAATGTTACCCCAAATATCCTAGCATTTTTTAGTCCAAATTGTTCATGTTGCCCTTTTTACATACACTCTTCATCTTCCATTCCACTAGCACCTCCTTGGTCGTTTGTGGGCAGAACCAGGTATAATTAAATGCTTGGGTCAAGTGAGCCCACAAGATGGTTCTAAATAGACCATATAGGACTAAATGCTTTGCTGTTTCTACCACCTCTGGTTAGAACAAGCAACTTGATGATGATGGGAGCTCACACCTTGCATCAACAACTTGTCCTGTGACAAACATTTGCAAATAGTAGTAGTTTACACCATAGTTTGTCTGTGTTGGTGCCTCCCATAACTCTTTTTGTGCAAAGAGGGACCTTTCAATAGATGATAATTTTTTTAAGAAGGATCTGACTGAAGATATGGGACTTAGCCTACCTACTTCCTAGTTCTACCATCTTGTTCTCCAGGTCAAGTTGGAAGTCATATATTCATGTAGATATGCATATGTATAGCTTCTTTGTTTTTGTTTTTTCCCTAGAATTTTTTTACACCCACCATCTAAGTGCAGCCACCTTGTTCAACAAATGCCAAAGGTTAGGACCATAGTCTATCCCTCCCAAGATCCCAGATAGCTGGGACCAACATTGGGTAATGAACCGCCTAGCAGGAAAAATGGTCAATGCCCTGTGATTAATTGGTCTATCCAGGGCAAACCACTCAAGTCATTAGTTTCCATGGTTGAGAAGGAACAAGTCATATTGACCTCCTCTAGTGGTTTTAGTAGTAGAAAGTGGGTATTGGAAATAGAGTTTGGAGGGGAAGTTATTAGTAGATTCCTTATGGTGTCCTATATCCAATATATCAAAATTATCAATACTCTTTTTTCATTCTCATTTTTTTCTAGGAAAGAGCATTTTCTTTGAGACATAATATGTAATTCTTCTGCCCATCAATTGTTGAACATCCAATTGATTTCTTGATTTTATGCACTTGACAATAAAGCATGAATCAAACAATTACATGAGGATGTCTTTTATTGGTGATTAGTAACAAGTAATGCAGAATATTAGGGATCAGTTGTACTGGGCTGAAGTTGTTCTTTTGCTAAGCAGGGGGGAAATTAGGGATCAGTTGTATTGGGCTCAATTGCAATTTTTGTGCTGTTTTTTTCTTGTAGAGTGAGGGTGCACCTTGTGCCTCTCTCCGGGATGCTTGTAATAGTTTTTTATCTTTATTGATTTCAATGAAGTTGGTGCATTGGATGAATTGTCCCAGCAGTGGTGCGGTTTCGAATGCCGCTATTATCAAAGAAAAGAGCTGTTGATTTGATGTTGTAAAAAGAGTAAAGGGGTGTCAAGCAGTGATTAATATCAAAAAAAAAAAATGAACTTGTCAAAAAAAAACATGTAATGCGGAATACTGCAACTTCTAAAAATTTCTTGGTTGGATTCTGCAGGTAATTGGAGCTGTTGGGTTCATGAATCAACGATTGGAGATACCAAAAGACACAGACCCGCAATGGGTTTCTATAATCCAGAGCTGCTGGGAGAGGTGCTTATTACTTTCTAGTCTCTCTTTTTGTTTCTTTTATCTTTTCCTTCCCTTTTTTTTCCTGCAACCAGGGTAAAAACTTTGGTGTTACCATGAGTCTTAGTAGTTCTCTATTTAGCTAGAAAGAGCCACTCAGATGCACAGACACAGATGCCTTGTTTCTGGTGTCCTAGTCATCTTTGGAGAAGTCCGATTGACCCAGGAATCCTTCTTTTGTTATTTAATTTGAAACCCAAAAGGACCCTCGTCACCCAATATTCCTCTTTGTCCTTTTTCCTTGACTAAAGTAAGAACCTTGCCAACTATACCAGATATTTATGGGCATTCTTTGAATAAAAGAACTAGAGGTTTTGATGTTTAATGCCAAGTCCAACACAAGGTGGGGTTTTGGGTAACCTGGGGTTGATACGACTAATATATGTGTGATCTTGGTGATCCCCTATTTGGTGGACAGTATGGATGGCCACAAGATTCATCCTTGTGACTAGAATAGGCAGTGTGATTTGGAAAAGCTTAATCAACCTGATCCAACGAGGCCATTTTTCCTGGGTTATCATCTTGAGCATGATTTTGGGTGAGAATTCTTCTAGGTGAGACCCATCAGGTGGTGGGACCTGAAATTTGATGCCTGGCATGTTCTTGATGCAAGTAGTTCAGGAGTAAGTGTCTTGTGGTATATAATTATTGTCTAGAAAATAAATTTATACATAATCAATAGTAATTGGGCCTTTGTTTAGCATGTTTGATGATGTATTTTTTTTCTGTGCCTTGATCTTATTTTCTAATTTCAATCTATGGAAAACAGTGAGCCCCAACGTCGACCAAATTTCCAGGAACTACTAGAAAAATTAAAAGATCTGCAGAGACAGTGTTCCATTCAAATTCAAGTGAATCGCATTGCTTCTGGAGATGCCACGCAAAAAGCATTGTAGTTGCGAGAATCAAGTGAAGGTACCTAGAGGCCTGGCTTCGTCTATGGTTTGGTTTTGACAATCCCTTGTCTACACAGTGCAAGCCATGATTTTATTGCGTATCTTGCTTGCACGCTTTTATGCTTTTTGGCGTTGCCAACAGAAGCATCGATTCATTGTTTGTACGCATTGGCATTTATCATTGGTAGAAAACTGCCTCCATAATATGCCAGAGTTGAAGGTGTCTCAAATTGAAGGAAAGAAGAAAAAGATCGGTCAAGAGGATGTGTAAATCATTTGTATGAGGTTTCTGCTAACTTTGGTGATGGTGGTCTTTTATTTTTTTGGATAGACTGAAAACATGGTAATGGTGGTCGATTCTGTGGTTTTTTCCTCCTACTAACCTCATAATATGTCATCTGAAAGGGTGTCAGCTGTAACTTGATTCATGTGATCCGATTCGTCTGTTAACCAATTTGTAATGTCTGAAAAATCAGTCAAAACAGCTGTATATGCATCTTCTCTGTTTGTTTGCCTTGGCAAGTATATAGAATTGAAGAATCTTTTGCTTCAATGGTGGGTATATGTTTCTTTTATTGCATCTTAGACATTGTGGTTAATGACTCGTGTTGGGTGTATTTTGGTCTTGGGGGGGTTCAATGCGTCAACTTGGTTTTCATGTGTCTTAAATTCCTACTTTTTTTGACAAGTAAAAAAAAAAAAAAACTAAGAGAAATTTGTCTTAAATTCCAATTGAGATGGGCTGATTCATCAATTTGAAGCGGAAACGTACAGGGAAATAGCGGTGAAATTAACCTTGAGCGTTGAGCCTTGCACAAAACTAAAGAGAATGGACGAAGGGATGCGTTATAAATCACAGAAAGAAATGTAATTCAAAACTAGAATTTCCTGGTGAGCCAAGTCAGTTCAGTTGCATTCATCCATGCGTTCCCTCACCCAGAGAAAACCTTTGGGTTTTGGGCTTTTTCTCGACTGACTTTTTCGGGGATTTGGTGACTGACTGACTGGTGAGGAAATTATCATAGCAATGGAACCAATCCCGTTTCCTGAAAGGTTTTCTCAGAAAAGATTTTTTTCTTTTTTTTTTTCTGGGGACCATTGCTGCTGCAAACCTGGATCTCCTGCACTCGTTTTGGTGTGAAACGGGTTGTTGTTCTATTCAACTCTTTACACGTCAACCACACACTATCCCCTGATCTCTCACGTGGGAGGTAATTAAATGGCTGATTGCCCCTCCTGTTATGCCCTTTCTCATTTTTTAAATGTAAAAAATAATTAAAAAATATATTTGACTGCCCAATTTGAGGTTGGACATAGAGAAAAAACAAAATAAGGAAGCCCTAACCATTTCTTCTTCAGCCAAGGGAGGGAATGAGTTCCTTCAGTTGTAGAGAAACTGATTACTCTCCCTATTTAATTTTTTATTACTGAATTAGAGAAGAAGAATCACACCCTTTAGTTTTGCATATACGGCAATCATAACATTACATGTTCAGTAATCCTTTTCTCCACAATGGAGTGGCTAGCGCGGAGCTTGCATCTCTGCTACAACCATCTGAGAAGTCAAGAAAAGCGCTTAGACCAAGATCTGTAGCAAATGCAAAAAGCTCTTACCACATGGAGGAGGAAGAAGGACAAGATAGTAGACCATTTTTAACAGCATCCCTCATATATGGTATGGTCTACAATAAGCATCGATGATGAAGTCCGAGAGAAGCAAAGCATTTTTTTTAAGCCTCTAGAGAGACAAAGCTACTTGAGTTTTATTAGATGAATCAGCATTTAGCTCTTTCAATTTCTTTTACCCCATTTTTATGGAGAGAGCAATAAGACGGATTCTGAATACTTTGGTTTTCTTTCAATTTTCTGGTGCTTTTGCAAATTATCATTTGATGTTTTAACAATCTTAATTGCATTGTCTTTCCCAGGTCGTTTTGATAGTTGGGTCTCTTTTGACCATTTTTGCAGCATTAATCCTTATGGATTCACCATTCAAACCACCCAAGGATCTTACGGTCTCAAAATCCAAAGAACCAAATTAGAGTTTTTTAACCTCATTTCTCAGTTAAATGACATTTTTTTTCTTTCTTAATTGTTCATACAGCTTTCATTACACTTTTGCCTTTATTATAAGTTCATTATTATTTATAAAATTATTACTTCTCTATTGAGGACAATGAATAGATATAATTGCAATTATCAAATAATTTTAAGTTTGAAAACTTAGTATATTCAAAACCCGATGATCAATATATAAATAATTTTAATTATTCATTTCCCCATACTTAGTACGGGGTCATTCACATACGTACCTAACAATAACTATATATATTAAAGGATGGTTTTCTTTTCTTTACATTTATACTAATTTTGATATTATTAGTAATTTTTAGCAATAAGTTGTTATCAATATTTTCAGTAATTTTGATCAATTATTACTAAAAATTAATAATTAATTAAAATAATAATAAATATAATTTTCATAATTAAAATTTATTGACAAAATTTCATTGGAAAATTCATTTCAGTAAAATTAAATTTATATCTTTAAAATTGACATTAGTTTTCATATTATCAGTAGTTTTTTAGTAATAAGTAGTTATTGATATTTATAGTAATTTTGGTCAATTTATTAATAAAAGAACCACTTTCGGTCACTTATAATTTTAATATTATAATTATTTCTATGATTAATATTCAGATTCATTAATAATCTTAATTACCGGTTTATAATTACCAACATTATCGATATATAATAAAGATTATTTAATAAAAGTAATATAATTAATAATATTAGTTTTACCAGATAGTATATTATTAACATTATTGGTTTTCGAATCATTAATACTAATATCTATCTTATAATATCAGTAATATATAAGTAATTATTCCAGTAATAATATAAGATGGTAAATATGAATTTTATTACTAAATATGACTTGCTGAAAATTATTGAGTTCGGTAATTTATTCATTTAACTCGATCCAATTTCCAACAAACCCTGGTTTATATGTTATATTGATCATTAATTAATATATTATTAATATTAGTGATTTTATAATCACTAATTATATAACTTTGTAAATAAGAAAATTTAAGTTATAGAAATTACTTGCTGAAACTGGTACTTTAATGTCATGGAGTGTGTCTAAATTAATTATTGAAATAAATGATTACTAAAAATTAATATAAATTTTAATTAGAAAATTTAATTCAAGAAATATAAATTTATTTCATTTTTAGATTTACATTATTTTTATATTGTCACTAATTTTTAGCAAAAAGTAGTTATTGATATAATCAGTAATTTTGTTCAAATTATTAATAAAAAATACCGCTTCCATTAATTTAATTCAATGAAAGTTATATTATAAAACTTTGAATTTTTCAAATAAATAATTGGAAGTTTTAATAATTCCCATAAGTATTGGATAGTATATTTATAATCACCATACTTGTTAGAACTAATAAGTATATTATACTATATTATATTATATTAATTAATATAATATAACTAATATTATTATATTATAATTAATACTATTATATTATTATTATCAATAATTATAATTAATTATTACTAATAATAATGATTTCTGATAAAAATTAATTACTGATTATAATTACTTACTAATAATTAATTCCTTATTTATAACAATGTTAATTATTAATTGGGATATAACCATTTTATATTTATATTAATTCATATTAATTATTTTATAAATATATAATTAGTTCTAATTATTTACATTATTATTATAAGCAATTATAATTAGTGCTATTATTATAAAAGAAATTATTATTTTATTATTTAACCAAAAATAATAATTATTACAAATTATTTACTTAATATACACAAATTAAGTACATACATAATAAGAATATATTATTACTTAATTTAGTTTGAAGTTTACAATCATTGTCAATACTCATTAATAGTTAGAATTACAGTCGTTATTAATAAAGAAAATACTTTATTAATTATAAACTTGAATTAACTTTTTGGAAGCAACCTAATTTAATATTTAAAAAGAAATAACTCAAAATAGAATTATTAGATAAATAGTAAATACCAAATAAAGTGGGTTATTGCTTACCAATAAAATCTCATTTAATATCTTAAATCAAATTTAAAAGAAAAAAACATAAATTAATAGTGGGTTTCAAATAATAGGTTAGAATAGATTGCCAATTACAAAGATACAAGACCCATATTAGTTTTTTAATTTAATTTTTTTATAACTGAATAGTAAACTTCAAACTAAATTATAAACACATTTAGTTACCCGTACTTAGTACGGGGTCATTCACTAGTTCAAATATTAAAATGAAAACAAATGATCAAATCACTTAACTAATTCAATGGTAAAGTGAGACCATGACTTTTGTAACCATAATATGGTTTATTTTAGGGCAAATTCAATTCCAATGCCAATTCATCGGGTCAGTTCAAGTAGGGTAAACCCCTAGACCCTAGTACCAACCTAAATGGGAATCAATACCAAGAATTTAGAACCAAATCCTACCCTGATAGAATCGATCATTCAGTTCCAAATAGAACCTCCCTATTTGTTTAGCCCTACATACATCCGTAATTCGTTAGGCAAAGGGTGCAAAATGCAATTTGCGATTATAATACTCAATACTATGTCATAAGAATCACACCAGTCCCAATCACTAGCCAAGCAATATCTGACCTGACCAATTGTTATCACTAAACTAAAAACAGGGGTGGAGCTAGGAGGGACCTAGGGGCCATGACCCCCTATGGTTTGAGAAAAATGTTTATGTGTGTTGTGGGGATTGGGGAGAAAGAGGGCATATTGGGATTTGGTCCCCTATGGGTTCACCAAATAGTTGTATACATTTGACAATGCATTCATCTATACCTTGTATTACTGTTACCTATTATTTGCAAAATAAAAGAAAATAAAAAATATAACTAAACCATATTCAAGCAAAGAATTTGATACCCACTGCCTAGAACCACTTGTAATCAATTTAGGTTACAAGTTTGAACAACCAGATTTTTTTTCTATTTTTGTTCTTGTTTGTTGTTCAAGTTTTCTTAGAAGATTGAACACTTGAATTGAATGAATTTGATTATTCGTTTATTTGTAGAGTTGGAGTTGAAATTTTGATATTTTAAGGAGTTTTTTTTTTTTTTGGTAACCAACGAAATCATTCATTAAGATAAGAGCTAGGCAGGAAATACAAAAATTTGTAGCAAAAGCCAGCAACCGAGAGTTAAGTCTATGTGGGAAGGGAGGCTACCAAACTCCCTTAAGATAATCCCAACTAGCCAAAAAATGAGTTGTTGAGTTGCTTTTTCGAGAAGCAAAACTACAGTCAAAAGTATTAAGGCTTTGAAGCTCACAAAAAATCAAAAAACAAATAATAGCAGTCATTAGCAGAATTGGTTGAACGTAGCTTTAGAGACTTGATAATCATCTTGTAGTCCAAATGGAGTTGGATATTTGTGAAGCCCAGCTGCTTGGAGAGCTTTGTACCTTAAAGAATGGTCATTGCCTTTGAGAACATTGCCAAGCGGGT